AATTTCAAATTCTGACTTATGAAGAAACTTCAGTTTCAAGTTACCAAATTCAAATTAATGGCATTCTCAGCTCAAGGGGTCTTAGAACATGATTCTTGATGCTTTAGAAAGATGAGGCTACAAGCTTTGCAATGTGAAAAGAATGGAATCAAATGGATGTTTGAGCTGAAAGTTGCATTGAGTCAAAGTTGAGAAAAAGAGGTTGACTTTCCATACTTAGAAATATTTCAAAATTTTCATCAAAAATAACTTATAATGTTTTGTATTCAAACATGGTCTTCCACTTGGAATTTGTTCTTGACCAAAAAATATGGCATGAAATAGACCTCTTTAATGACATTTGGAGACTTTAACCATTCAAAATATCCAAGAATTGAGAGAGTTATGAATTGTTGAAGTTGGCAAAAATCATAAAATGACCTATAATCTTTTGTAGCCTTAAGGAATCTTCCATCCATTTTCTCACTTTGCACATAAAAGAAGGAATAAAATTCACATCCTCAAGATCATTATGGAAAAAGAGTGGGCTCAAGGTGATAAAAATTGACCATGTTATGATCATTTGAAGTTACACATAGAGAATTGGGGATTCATCTGGAGGACTTGTAATCTTTCTTCATCATCAAGTTTCTTCCACATGAAAACTCCTTGAAACTTTTGAAGTGATTTGTTAATAAACCTTTGAAGAGAATGATATATTTAGAATCACTCAAAATTACCAAAAGATGAGCAAGATATACTTCTTTGAAGTTCAAAACCCTAGCTCCTAGGTCAAGAAAATGCTTTGGGGAACTTTGACAATTTTGAACAAACTTATTGTACCAACACTCTTGCTTTGTAAATAAAAGTTGTTGAGGATGATAATAAGAACTCATAGCCACCAAAACCACTTTCATATATTGAGAATTGAGAGAAATATGCACTTGTGATCAATGGGAATAAGACCTTGTCCAACCATGACAACTTCTTCAATCAACCCCTTGTACTTTTGAATCAAATTAATAACTTTGAAATATGGTGAACCAAAATGAACCTTGCCATGCCATTTCTTCCAAAACAACTTCAATGGTGAGGTTAGAATTTCTCAAGCTTTATTGACTAGGGCATGGAAATAAACTCATGAACCCATGGATCAACTTGCTAAGCCACATTGCCTTCAACTACATTATTAACAAGTAAGACAAACCAACATTGCATTTTATTAATTAAAAGGAAAAACAAAACAAAACATGAATGATCACCAAAGAAAAACAAGTCAAGGTGCTTGGTGATTCCTCAAAGAGAAAAGCTAGAGATAGGGAGGAGAACCAAAAGACCTAATGTGATCTTGTTGTGATTGAATCAACATGGTATGATGAAGGGATCTTAGGGGCAAAAATTGGGATACAACATTATGTATTTATCATTTCACTTATGTTAACGGATGTACAGCCACCCCAGTGGCAAAGGTAGCGCGCGTGTATGGTGAGGGTCATGGGTTCAAGACCCAGCGCTACCTTTTGTTTTCATTTTTCACATTTTTCTCCTTTTTTGTCACAAACAGCAGCATTAGGCCTCCAACAATAGACCTAGTATTTTTTGCTAATTTCTAACCCCTGCCTGCTTTTGCACACATGGCCCAACTTTATTTTATTTATTTCATTTTCATTTATTTCTTTTTTTATTTTATTTTTATTTCAGTTTTATTTTATTTTATTTTTATTATTACTATTATTATTTTTTTATTATTATTCAAAAAAATATAAAAATATTTTTATTTATTATTTACACTTATATTTTATTTTCTTTATAAAAAAAAGACAAAAACATTTTCTTAAACAAATTAATTTCTTTTTTTCTTAAATAATAAATATTTAGATTTAGGTTTAATTATTATTTTTCCTTTTTATTTAAAATTAATTTAGAACTTGGGTTTCTTTTGATTTTCATTTTATTTTCATTAAGTTAAAACCTTTCACAAAAAATCTTAAAAAATACTTTTTTAACCTGATATCTTTCTTCATTAATTTAAATTTAATTTTGTTTATTTTTAACTAATCATTTTCTTAATTTGGTTAAAACCCTTTCATTAAAAACCAAACAAAAATCATTTCTTTTCCATTTATATCCTTGTACATTATTTATTCAATTCTTGTACATTATTCAATATGATTGTAATAGATAATTAGGTTTAATTTTCTCGCAATCCCCATTTGTAAATTTGTATACCCCCTCCCCTAATGATGTAATAGTGTAGTAATTTTTACTTTCTGCAATTTATCGCTTTAATATAAATGCTAGTAATTAGGACTTGTATGGCAAGACTAAAATCAACAATTAGTAAACCCTAATTCAAGATAAACAAGGCATGTAAATCAAACACATTTGCACACTTGCACCCCTAGGGTTAATCTCACTTGTTGCCTTATAAAAATGGACATGTTATGCATGTGGGATATCTTAGCAAAAGGAAATCAAAAATACAAGATCATAGTCCCTCGATGACGCTACGAATGTTGCCTTACAAATGATCTTAGTCCCTCAAGAAAAATGTTAAGATATTTCACAATATTGCTATCATGACTATACGATGACCCATGCCCGTCCATTTATATCCAAAGATAAGGCTTCTTACCAATCAATGGTAAGATAGCAATATCAAAGGAAAGGAAAAATGAACAAAAGACTTTTGAGTAGGTAGAAATGTTCTTAGTTGCTTGCTCACTTTCAAAACAACATCCTTGCTCATTTTCAAAACACCGGACACTTTCAAAACATGAAATATTTTTAAAAGTTTAACACTTTGTATACATTCTTATAGAGACGAGAATCATTACAAAATTTGGCTAAACAAAGGTGCTTTCAAAAATACTTTCAAACTCACATCACTAAACACATTTTCAAGCAAAGCACATTTTTAAACGCAAGTGATCTAGCAAGTAACTAAGAGCCCATAGATAACTATGGATGAAAAGGGTGCTAATACCTTTCCTTTTCATAATCTACCCCCCGAACTCAAAAAATAATCTCAAAGGTCTTTCTTGTGCTTTTTCATCTTTCCTTTTGGATAAAAGAAAAGTCGGTGGCGACTCTTGCTAACCGCAACAATTGCGATCAAACGTAAAACAAACTAAGTCAGTTCTCCCACTGTATCACATTGAGGATCAAAAACCCACAGTAGGATATGTGTTTATGTCAAGTGGTACACCAGTTGCTTGAAGTTCGAGAAAGGAACCAGTAGTGGTATTATCATCATGTGAAGCAGAATACATAGCTGTTTTTATTTGTGCATGTCAAGCAACATGGATGGTGAACTTGATCGAAAAGATTACATGTAAAGATCATGGAGTAATTACCATGAAGATCGACAGCATGTCAGCTATCAATCTGGCGAAGAACCCGATAGCACATGGTCGAAGCAAGCACATCGAAATGAGGTTTCACTATCTTCGAGAGCAGGTAGCAGATGGGAAGATGAACTTGGAACACTGCAGAATTGAGAATTAGATTGCAGACATTGTGACAAAGGATGTGCAGGTCAAAATATTTCGAAGACTAAGAGTTATGATGAATATAGATAGCTTAGACACAATGAATTAGGTTGTGTGTTAAATTGTAATTCATAGTGTCGAATAATGTGTGTGTCAAATTAGATTTGATTTAGTTAGATTTGATTTAGTTAGATTTGATTTAGTTACACACAGATTTGATTAGATTTGATTTAGTTATAAAATAGGTATTTTGTGCTTTTATATTTTTGGGTTTTTAGCTTAGGGAGCAAGCTAACCTAAAATTATAAATAGTGGGAGTAATCCCTATTTTTGTAATCAATCAAGTTGTATTCACAGAATTTGCAGTTGGAAGTGAATAAGAAGTTTTCCACAGGTTGTGGGCAGAGAGAAACTTTACAGAAAAATCATTGTCTTCTTTCTTTCTTTCATATTTTCTCATTGTAATTGTGTGGTGATAACAAATTTGTTCATCAAAATTGATAAAAATTCATTATAGATTTTGGTGGATTTCCAACAGTTTTCACCAAAAACTCCTAACGAAGCTTGGAGTTAATGAATGTCATATTACAATTTTGTTCCTAAAGATTAAAAAGGCAGAGGAAGGGAGGAGTATAATACTAGAATGTTAGGATCGGTTCATATTATTAAATGAGCAGTTGAGGTATTATGATCGAAGTTTAGAGATCTTGATATTTTAGATGTTCATCAGTGGTGAAAGTGAAAACTCGTGATTTGTTGTCTTAGAGGTTGTGAATCGTTTATCCAACATTAGGAAATGTTGTGAGTGTGAGTTGCTCAAAAACCACCCATCGTTGAAGAAAATAAGAATATTATTTAAGATAGAACTACAGCCATCGAAACGATTAACATATACGGATGCAATAACACAACGGAAGAAGATCAGCGAAATTTAAAGAAAAATTCGTAAAAATCAAAAGACAATTCTCATATACAATATCATTATTATGTATTAAAACAAAGAATGGATGAGACTCACACAACTACAAATTTGCTAGTTTAGTCTGTTTTAACCTCTTAAGTAAACTTCAAAAATGTTGAAACTATTTTTTATTTGTAATAAAAATAAATAAATAAATAAATAAAAAGACATGTGGTCCACGGTAATTTTCCAATTTTGAAGTTCTTAAATGTGTATCTTCATAGTAGTTATTGGAGTCACGAACTTCACATTATTTGTATTAAATGCCATATATACTACTTGAAGTTGCAGATTCCTATACGACAAAATCAACCATTCAAAGATGAAACACAGAATAAACAAAAATATCATCATGAAACATGACTCATAACATCGTGAGAGCTATAAATATATATTTAAAATTAAAACCCAAATCTTGCACACAAACGCTAACGAACATATATATCCCACTCAATGAGTTATTTAAAACGCCAATAAGATTAACTAACGTACAATAATAATTTAATCAACTCTAATTAAAAATTACTTACTAAAACATGATTTAAGACAATAATTGTAAAACCCTAAATTCAAGCACACGCAATACCAATTGTGGCGGTCGTGAACCGCTCCGAAGCAGACCTTTTAACCAAAGAAGAAATCTCCGGCGAAAGAGAACCAATCTCAAATTCAGGAGCTTCTGGTATAGTAGAAAGAACCGATCCAGATTTATCATAAACCACGTAGAAACGCTCATTACAGTATTTTTCTTGCACTTTCAAACTATTGCTGCTTGAAGAAACGTTGGATTTATCATTGTTTGACTTGAACACGGAACGAATAAACTTCTGAAAAGAGCGGGAGATCTTGTACGGTTTCCTTGAGGTAACCGACGACGACGACAAAGATAACGATGATTTCTGAAGAACTGTGACTCGTCGTTCTGGTAAACGAGACATGGAGAGCGATCTGTTTATGGCTGAGTCAAGTTGGTGTTTAAAGGAGTTGAGTTCGAAGGAATCATAAAGTGTGCTTCCACAATCCCACACAGTTTTGTTATTGTAATTTGACTCTTCCTTCTTTTCTTCTTGCGAGAGTTTCTGTTTCTCCATATATATGTTTTTGTTTGTTGTTTGAGTAGAATACTATAGGTACTGTGTTTTCTGCGTTAAGTAGTACTGTAGTAAATACTAAACTAAATAGGAGCGTTATTTTGATTGAGAGAAAGTGTGACGTTTTTTGATATTGATGCTTTTTCTAATGGTTGGTGAAGGATCAAACAGATTAGTTATGACTTGTCTACTATAAAACAGTGTTGCGGTGTTCGATATATGTTGGTGTCCAATATTTATATGATATTAGTACAATATGTGTTGGAAAAGTCAAACAAGTTTCGATACATTTTAAATAGCTGTCCAATATTCATATGACACTCATACAACATGTGTTCAATAATTCAGTCAAATTTTTTTTAAAAAAATTATGTTTTTCTTTTCCTCAACACATTTTATATATTTTCTAGACAAATATCACACATGATTGTCTAGAAAATATATAAAATGTGTTGAGGAAAAGATGTATTGAAACAATGTTATCAATCAAAAATTAAAACATTAATTTTAATTAGAATATTTTCAACTCTTTTAATATTAGATGAATAAATGAACTCAAATAATATTATATATATATATAACAGTGTCGGTATCCTAAATTTTTTTTAATATCGATATTGGAGTATCCATGTCGGCGTCGTGCTACAATGTTTGTGTCGGAGTTTGTGGTTCATAACTTGTCTACCATAAAGGTTTACTATCACGTACTACATATATGGACCGTAAAATCTCTTACATTATGTAGCATTTTTATCATATGTGTTGCTCATAGTGTCGGTTAAATATGGTATCATTATAAGAATGTAATTATTGTTGGAATTAATTTATATTTTAGGAATATCTTATTGATTAAGTTTGTTAGAGGGTATTTTATTATAGCTTAATTATGTCTATGAATAGCCTAGTAGTAGGTAGATCAATGTAATTCATTATTCCTTATTTTCTAGATGTCATTCAATATATTCTTTTTGTCTTTCATCTCTCCTTTGTGCACCAACAATTGGTATCAGAGCTCCGGTTCGAAATTCACGGGGAAACACGGGAAACACGAGTGAACAGTGAGGTATTGTGTGATTGAGAATCGTTTTTTCTGATTCTGTGGGTTTTAGGAAACACTGTGTTTTAGTGAGTTTTTTTGCGTGAATTGCACAAAAGTTGAAGATGAACGGAAACGATGATATCAACTCCAAGCTTCCAGTGTTTGATGGTAAAAACTGGAATCGTTGGAAGATCCAGATGCGTGTGTTGTTTGGCTCTCAAGATGTGTTAGATCTTGTCACCGATGACTATGATCTGTTAGCAGCAGACGCAACAGAGGCACAGAAGATTACACAGAAGGTGCTAAGGAAGAAAGATCAGAAGGCATTATTCTACATCCATTAATGTGTGGATGCGAATGTGTTTTAGAAGATTGCTGACTCTGAAACAGCAAAGGTTGCGTGGGAGACACTGGTCAGATGTTACGGTGGTGACGCATCAGTGAAGAAGGTGAAGCTTTAGTCTCTCAGAAAGCAATATGAGAATCTCAACATGAAGAACAACGAGAAGGATTCTGAGTACATCTCTAGAGTGATTCTGATCACTAATGAGATGAAAGCTTGTGGAGAGACTCTTTCTAAACAAGTAATCATTGAAAAGATATTGAGATCTTTAACTTCTCAGTTTGATTACATTGTGGTTCCAATTGAACATTCCAAATATCTGAGCACCATGAGAGTTGAAGAGCTGCAAAGTACTCTAGAGGCGCATGAGTTTGTTTTGAATGAGAGAACTTCTGAGAGGGAAGTAGAGCAGCAGGCTCTGAAAGTAACTTCTGATAAGAAGTATCAGAAGCAGACTTGGTCAGAAGCCAGGAAGAAAACTAATGGTGGTCAAAGGTCAGAAGCTTCAAACTCTGATAGACAAAAGAATGTCCATAAGGGAAAAGAAAAGTCTGACAAGAAGAATGTTAAGTGTTACTGTTGCGAGAACTTTAGTCATTGTGCCAAAGATTGTTGGTCGAATAAAGAAAGGAAGTCAGAAGAAGCAAATATAGCCATAGAAGAGTCTAATGATAAACCTGTGCTACTTATGGCTTATGAATCAGATGAGGAGCTGATAAAATTGTCATTTTCTTATTCTGAAGGGGAAGAAGATGACTCTGAATATTCTGACTATGAATGAGTGTTTGAATATGAGTCAGAATTAGAAGATGACGCTGAAGATTTAGAAGATGAGTCAGAATCTGAAGAAGATTCTACTTCTGAAGAAGAGTCAGAAGATGATGACTCTGGAAACTCTGAAGGTGAGTCAAATGATGAATCTGATTCGGATCCAGATTTTGATGATGATCCAGAATCTGGTAGTGATCATGCTTCTAGAAGGGAAAACTCTGAAGACGTAGGTTCTGGAGAACAAGCTTCTAAAGATGATCATGTTCTGGTGGAAATCATGACTCTAAGGATGAACCTTCTAAAGGAGGAGCTTCTGAAGGAAATTCAACCTTTGACGGTGATCATGATTCTGAAAGTGGAACTTCTGAAGGTAGAGGTGATCCAACTTTTGAAGATGGTATTACTGAAGGTATTGACTCTGACTCTGATGGTGATTCAAACTCTGAGAATTTTCCATACTCTGAAGATAGTCAAGGTTCTGGAGAAAGTCTAATTTCTGAAGCAAGAGCTTCTGAAGGAGAAAGTTCTGGTGTCCTAGGTTCTGAAGTTCAAATTTAGAGGCAACAAAGAGTCAGAAGCATCCCAAGAAGATTTGCAGAGTTTGACATGTTACAAGACACTGAAGTAGACACCAAAGGAGAAGTTATTTAGTGAGAAATGTTAGTAGACTCTGAACTCGTGAGTACGGAAGAGGCTCTTAAGCAACAAGTATGGTTGCAGGTCATGAAAGAAGAACTTGATGCTATAGAGAGAAACAAGACTTGAAAGCTGACAGAACTTCCAAAAGGCAAGAAAGCCATCAGCGTCAGATGGGTTTTCAAGCAGAAGCTAAAGCCAGATGGATCAATTGCCAAACACAAAGCAAGATTAGTAGCAAGATGCTTTCTATAGAAGTCTGGGCTGGATTACTCTGAAGTGTTTGCACCTGTAGCGAGACATGAAACAATCAGACTAGTAATTGCAATAGCTGCTAACAGGAATTGGCCTCTATGCATTTAAATGTAAAATATGCATTTCTGAATGGTCCATTACAAGAAGAGATATACATGTCACAACCTCATGGATTTGAGAAAAAGAATCAGGAAGGGATGGTGTTCAAATTACACAAAGCCTTGTATGGATTGAAGCAAGTGCCTAGAGCCTGGAATCTGAAGATTCATGCATTTTTCAAGGGACAAGGGTTTCAGAAGTGTGAGATGGAGTATGGTGTTTATGTTCAGCATACTTCAGAAGGTAATATGATTTTGGTATGTTTGTATGTTGATGACATATTTCTCACAGGAAGTTCTGAACAAGAGATAGCTGAGTTCGAGAAGGTTCTGATGAATGAGTTTGAGATGAAAGATCTTGGGAAAATGAGTTTCTTTCTAGGGATGGAGTTTATGTACTCTGATAAAGGAATCATTTTGCATCAGATGAAGTATGAACTTGAGCTTCTGAAGAGATTTAATCTAGAGAATTGCAAAGTTGTTATCACACTTGCTGATACGAATCAGAAGTTAGACTCTGATTCTGATGAAGAGGATGTGGATACTACAACCTTCAAATAGATGGTTGGTTCTCTTAGATGTTTGTGTAATACCAGACCTGATATTTGTTATGTAGTTGGAATGGTTAGCAGATTTGGTCTCATTACCAAGCTGTTGTCAGGATTCTGAGGTACGTGAAGGGAACTCTGAAGTATGGAGTGTTATTTCCTTCTAGAAGAAAGATCGAATCAGAACCAGAACTTCTAAGTTATTCAGACTCTGATTGTTATGGAGACATAGTTGACAGAAGAAGTATTTTTGGGTACTTATTCAAATTTCTGGGAGGTATTATTTCTTGGTGTTCTAAGAAGCAACCTCTTATTGTGCTGTCCACCTGTGAAGATGAATATATTGTAGGAGCTCTGACTGCATGCCAAGCTGTGTGGATTCTGAACTTGCTGCAAGATCTGAAGATTGAGGTAGACAAACCTCTTAAGCTGATGGTTGATAACAAGTCTGCAATCAATCTTTCCAAGAACCCAGTGCTTCATGGGAGAAGCAAGCATATTGAGATCAAGTATCACTTTGAGGAATCAGGTTCATAGTGGAATATTAGAAGTTGTGCACTGTAGCACCCAGAAGCAGCTGACAGACGTTCCGACAGAGGTTATCAAGACTGATCAATTTCTTTGTTAGATGGATGGAATTGGTGTTGTCAGTTTTTTGTAAATATAAATTAAGGGATGGTGTTGGAATTAATTTATATTTTAGGAATATCTTACTGATTAAGTTTGTTAGAGGGTATTTTAGTATTTTATTATACCCTAATTATGTGTATAAATAGTCTAGTAGTAGGTAGGCCAATGTAATTCATTATTCCTTATTTTGTTTCCGTCATTCAATATATTCCTTTTGTCTTTCATCTCTCCTTTGTGCATCAACAATTATCCATTCTCATTCATATGATTTGTGAATAATATATTATTATTGTCCAATCTTACTTACAAAATAATAATAACTCATGAATATAATTAATAGCTACCGTATGGTATATGATACAAGTCAAAGATACAATGAATGGAGATATATTTTAATTTTTTTAATTTAAGCAACAGACGTTGAGACTGGCTCTGAAATTTTGAAATAGTATAAAAGAAAGACATTTGGTAAAAATATCCATAATTTCATATCATGGGGGACGTGAGAAATAAAGAGATGATCTCGAACTACCTTTTCGCGAACGAAATGAATATTCATCTTGATGTGTCTCGTTTATCAATGTTGAACTTTATTATCAGAGAAATAGGTGGCATTGATGTTGTCATAGTATAGACCAAAGTGGTCTTGTGAATGGGACAATGTAACTCAAGAATAAGGT